GTCGATTAAACTTGTTTAATCGATAGCTTCTGGCTGTCGAAGATAACTGGACAAAATTATAAATCTGGCTGAGAAATTCTGTCGATAATCAATATATTCGACAGTAAAATTCTGTCGATTACACTTCTTTAATCGACAGAGAAATTGGCTGTCGAATATACTGATTATCGACTGCAGTATATTCGACAAAAAAAGTTGTCGAATATGTCTATCGATTATAGTTTAATCAACAGAAAAGCATTCATATTCGACAGAATCCTCTGTCGAATATACTGCTTTTTCCAGTAGTGAAGGAATGTTATCTCAACTACCTTGTTAATGAATATAGTTGTTCGAAGTCTTCAACGAAAAATGTCATATTTCTATTTCGCTTTGTAATTAAAGAGTGTTACCTCAATTACCTTGTTAATGGATATAGTTGATAATAATTTTAGATACGATTTTGTTTTTTTATTTTTTATAGTGAAATTCTTTCATAATAAATTCATCTTTGCAAAAATTGAATATTGTATGACAATGAAAAATGAACAGAAAATGGAGAATATGATGACAAATTGATCAGTGGAGGTCGTTATTTTTTTTTTTTATCCAATTTGTTTGTCTTGTGGTAATTTAAATAATATTTTGAAAGACTAAAATTGTTAATTTTGAGATAATTAAATTTAAATAATAATATGAAGAAGATTTAATTTAATAAAAAAATTCAATTTTAAATACATAGTATTTTAAAATATCCAAACAATGTATTTAAAAATACATGTATTTGAAATTCATTTTTTTTAATTCAATCCAAACAATGTATTTTAAAATACATGTATTTCAAATACATGTATTTTAATTACACTCATCAAATTCAAATTCAAGTTCTCAAACACAACCTAAGAGTAATAAGTAGAATTCATCCAGATTTGACTCCGATGTTAAATTAAAAACAAATATTAACTCCTAACAAATGTTTCTCTTGTTAAAAAAAAAAAAAACAAAGAAAGAAAAAAGGGGACGACCATTTGCGTAACTGCCTTCACCAGTCACAACACGCAAGTAGTAGTTCTTCTATGCGTGGGTAGAACAGAACAAAGGGACTATATATAACTGTAGCAAGAGCCTTGGTTTCTGCACAAAATTTCAAAGCCTGCTTCTTTTATCTGTGTTAAACCATGACTTTTGGTTCTCCATATTCTCTCCATCTCATTCTACTTCTTGTACTGCTAGTTTCTGTTGTAGCTCAAACATACCAGAATATAACATTGAGCTCCTCATTAACTGCAGCACTTGATAAAAACGATTCCTGGAAATCTCCATCTGGAGATTTCGCATCTGGATTCCAACAGGTAGAAGCTGGAATGTTCTTGCTAGCCATATGGTTTGACAAAATACCTGAAAAAACCATTATTTGGTCGGCCAATGGTGGAAATCTGGTGCAAC